GAATATTTTTAAAATCTCATATCTTTATATCAATATGTTCAATTAAATCTTTTTAAAATAATATTTTTTCAAAAGACATCTTTTGTATTAATTCTTCTAAGTCATTCCAAAATTTTAATTTTAAACACATATCGATCCAAACCTTTTTGATGAGCATAAGCATTTATGATATTAATAATTTTAGCATCAATAATAATTAATTATATCTACAATTCTATTAATTTCTATCATATTATCCTTCAAACTCTTATATATAATCAAACTACTACATTTTTTATGACTCTTACTTGAATACTATAGCTTAAATTCTAAACTATCAATTTCTTTAGTCTTCTCTTCAACTTATTTAGTTTCTTGAATACATAGAATATAAGAAAACTCATTTTTATTAAAAACATAGAATAATGTTAATATAAGAGAATTATATCACCATAAAGGATCAATATATCTCATATATACTCCTTATTCCTTAATGTATGAAGTTACTCAAACAAAACACAAACTAAACACCCTAATGATTGTATCAAGTAATTCTCTAAATTTTCTTAGTTGTCACCCTAAGAGAGATTCAAAGAAGTACTCTGAAATGTATTGAAATTAAACAATGACTGAACTCCCTTACAAATATAATGCAATGACTATTTATAGGAAAATATAAAGTAGGCAACTGGCGCTGCTATGCTTGAAAAGTCAGCGTCGCTGCCCCCAACAAATGAACTAATGCTGGTGTGCTATTATTTCGGTTGCTCCGTGGCGCTTGCTAACGTGGATCATTTACTTAGTGAATAGTATAATCGTTTCATTGACATGTCATGTGCTTTGAAAGTTCTGACTGCTACATCGCAGCGCTGCTAACTTTCAAACACTGCAGTGTCAGAATGACAATTTTAGCATCAATGCGTGATAGACTATGATGTTGCGACACTTGAAGACAGAGTATGACGCTGCAAAGCTATCCATTTTGATGTCTCGGTATTGTCCAATAGAGAAGTTAGCACTGTCATGTGAATGTTGTGGCGCTCTAGCGATTCTTTTGATGATATTGCGGCGTTGATTTGTCCTAAGCGATGTCGCGATGCTAGATGAGACTTAGAATTTTGAGTCTTTTTTGTATTTTTTCTGCACAACACAATTAAAAAAAATACATTTTCACTATAAATATAACACATAAAATAATATTTTATTTATACTTATCACCAAGTAATTGACAAAGGCTTCATTTGAGACAACTTTCTTATTGCTTTATTTTTCAGACTGTAACTACATTTGTTTTTCTTTTTTTTTTGCTACTGCTTTTTCTATATATTTTTTTTAAAAAAATTGTACTAGAAAGCTGCTTTAAACAGCAGCTTTAAAAAAAATGTTATTTTCTCTATAGTTTTATAGCCACCTTTATAAAAAAACTGCAATAATGTCAAACAAACTCTAAGAAGATTGTGATCATGACTCTTTCATTATATAAAAGTAATAATACTAAACTTAGGCATCTAGTTGGAGAATGGGTTTCTTCAATATTGTTTCTTCATTGAGGGTGAATATTATTTTATTTTAAGTAGTAGAATGTTCAAACAATTTCATTTAACTATGATGATAATGAATTATAAGCTTCGTATATGACAACTTTTTTATTGCTTTTTAAAAAGCAGCTTCCTAGCACAAAAATTATTTGAATTCAAAATTTTGTATTTAGAAGTTACTTTAGAAAACAGTCAGAAAATTGTCTCAATTGAAGCTATAATCAATGTTGTAACTTGGAATCTATACGGGGAATCTATACGGCCCCATCCTTTCTTTCTATGTTTAAACATTTATATATAATACAGAAGAACCGTTAAAGCTAAAGCAATATATAAAATATAATTCTTCAATCTTCTCAATTAGGGGTGTAAGTGAGCCAAGCCAACTAATAAGCTTGGTTGAGCTCGACTCAATAAATGTCTTGCAAGCTGAGTTCGAAAAGCTGATGAGCCAAGTCTTAGCTAGTCCTGACTTGACTTATTAGCTTACAAGTTAGCTCGCTTAAAAAATATTAATATAAAATACACTTAACAATATATTAACACACTTGATTTAAAAGAAGCTGTTAAAAATGCTTAAATTTATATTCAAACTTTTATATTATAGTAAGCCATTCGTTTGAGACAAAAATATTTAATGAATTATGTCATAAATTAGGATGAATTGCTCTAAAATTTTATGATTGATCACATTTTATTTTATTAATCCATTGATTTCATTTTAGTCTAAGTTATAAATCTACTTTGCTGTATTTTGAATGAGATTATTAAGATAATTAACAATAATTAGACATTGTATTAGCTATTAAAATATTTAATTAATGAATATAAAACAATCTTTGTTCAAATGCCGGACTAGTAATAAATAATTTGTTGTCAATGTCATATTGACCCAAATTGTATAAAGATAAAACAACACTTTTATATCACTTAAAAAATAATGTCGGATATTCCATCAAAGTCCTCCGAATTTTCCTTATAAAAAAATATTATATAAACGGCAGCTGAACTATTTCGCATCTAATGCTTTTACAAGAATGACTTACCCGTGTGTCTGTTTAGCATTTGTATGAAAATTTAACACACACGAAGGGATAACATAGGAATACAAAAATTGTAAGAGACACAAGAGTTTTTATAATAGTCGGGTAATGTAGGTTGAAGGACCATGGTAGGACGATGGTGGTCAGAGAATCATAGTCGAACAGCATCGGTCAGAGGAATATAGTCGGGTGATGGTAGTATAATGATCATACTCGAGCTATGGTGGTTGACGGATCGTGATCGGGCGATAATTGTCAACAACTTGTAGTTAGGTGACAACGGTTGAAGGTTGGACAATGTTCTGACTGTGGCAACCATGCGATGCTTCAATGATAGCGATTTAGCAGGGGTGGGGGTATTTCGATAGTGGTGGTTGGGCGGTGGTTCAATAAAGGCAACTGGTTGGTGCTTTGATAGTTGTGGTTAGGCGATTGTCCGACAGCGGTCCAACTGTTGTGCTATAGCGAAGCTATTAGATTTTTACAATCTCTAAGCTTCTCAAATTTGAAGCCCAAGTCCAAGCTCAAGCTTCGAACTTTTTCTTCATATAAAGAGTGAGGGCAGAGAAACATGCCTTGTAAATATGGAGAAATTCTAAAACACTTCATAAAGTAGTCCGTATTGATTCTCTTAATCATAGAGGATTTGTTTGGCATTTAAGTATTTAATGCTATCAGAATTGAGCCAACTTAGGCTCGCGAGATTTCTCTCATTAAGATGCTCGATTTGACTATAAAATACAAAATTCAAAGAACATTTGATCATTCAATTAATATTCTAAAATTTTCAATTATGTTTTAAGTGTTTGATTTAGACTCATTCAAACTCAAGTTGGACAACTTTTGATGTCTTGGAGTCCATCTTATCAAGACAATATAAGTTAACTAAAATTAAAGTTCATATGATCATGAATTTAATTTTAGATGTTTTCAATTCAAATAAATTATATGATCATTGATATGTAACTCACCCTAAATAATTTCATCTAAACAATCCCCCAATTTCTCTTTCTATCTCCAAGCCCCGCAATCAAATAATAGTAAGACAATTAATCCCCACCTACTACAATCCCAACCCCTTCAATAAACCAAAGAGTCCCACAAGTCAAAATGAACGAAGGATTTCTTTCTCCATTGCTCTCTTTACATTCTCACATATGAACCAGATCCAATAAAAAAGAAATGAGGCCTCACACTTTTAATTTTTTATGATTAAAGCTTCACATAGAAATGCACACAAATTTTTTTCTTTTTCTCAAACCCTATAAAGCTACTTCACCTGATTCTCCTTTCAATATGATATCAAGTCATAGGGCTCCAACATGCTAGGGAAACAACCAAGGAAACCCAACTCGGGCCCACAGCAGCATGGACCATGACAAAAAACTTAGACCGGGTTCGGCTCATCTCCTTGGACCCAAACAGAAAAAAACCAGTCAAACCAGGCCCCCTCACTGTGACTCTGCCATAGAAATGTCCCCTTAAGGCAACAATTCTTTATGTAAGCACTGCAAAGCCCTAGTAAAGGGTTAGTGGCCTAGAAACCAAGCCCTTACATAGAGAATTTAGTGGAGCCTTTCAAAAAGAAAGGAAAGCAATCAGCAAAGCTTGAGAGTTTTGCTATAAATTTTCATATAAGCATCTGTTTCCTTACCTAACTTCTCTTTCAACTTGGACTTTTTTAACTAAGAAAAGCAATTAGTGTCTTGATGCATAATGAACAAATCTTTCAGTTTAGACTTTTTTGAGATGGTGGGTGAACCATAGCCCTATGATCAGCGACTCAAGTCTCCGTGATTTTAGCCCACATTCAACCAAGCTAACCATAGCCCCATGGTCGAGGACTCAAATCTCGACTACAATAGGCCGAATTTGATCATGTGAATCAACTACTAATTTCTAACTAAATTATAATTTATTTGCTTGATATCCTCCAAAAAAAATCTAGCCCCAACCCTTCTTTTGTATGTCGTCCAGAACCCAATGAAAATATGTCACGTCACTCGATACTACTCGGTAATGTAGCTCGGTACTGCTTGGTACCAGATGATATGACACATTTTCATTGGGCTCCGGACTTCAGTTGTGTCCGGTGTCCGCACAGAATAATTTTTCCTTTCTGATGGCCTTATCTATTGGTAAAGGTCATTGATTTAACAGGTAAAAACTAAAAGGAATAAATTGTACAAAACATGCCTAGGGGGGCTTGAGAGCTGAAACTTCCAGGGAATTCACTTTCCAACAAACAAATATCAATGGCCATTGCTTAATATGTTAGTCAATATTCTAAATTTTGATTAGAACATGGCAATGTTGTGGAGAATCAGCAAGACAATAGAATCAGCAGAACCGATTTGATAAAGAGAATTGCTGTGAAATATTCTGAAGAAAAAATTATTTCAGATGTAATACGATTAGATATTGTGGAAAATCAAGTTAACACCTCACATTATGCTCAGTATGAATTACTGTAGAACTGTTCATAAATCTGATCCTGAATAATTGATATAAGACTACTAATTAGTCAGAATACAACCTGGTATGATTTGCGTTTGTCTCTTCTTTACTCTGCTAGTTTGAACGGTCCATTACTATTTAAAAACATGCTATTTTGTAATGTTTTTCACAAACAAAAGGACAATAAATGGCCAGTTTCTCTCTCCTTGATTGTATTTCTCACCTTCTTCCTCTAAAGACAATTTCACAGCAAGTGGTTTCTCATGATAAAATCAAGAGCTGATGACCCCTCAACATATTTATTTCTTTTTTTTCTAACATATATCTCGCTCTCTCCCTCCATCTTTGTCTCTCTCTTTGGCTGAAACTTCCTCATGACTTTCTTTAGCATTTTCCTGGCCACACTAAATACACTCCCACCCACCAAAACAAAAAAATACTTCAAAAGAATTTGAGCCTCTTAAAGAAAGGTTCAGAACAAATCTCAAGTCCCCTCTACTATACCACTCATGCGCTATTCAGCTTCCTCCTCTTTGCAGCTTGGGAGTTGTTCTGATAATTTTCCTGTGAAGCAGAAATTGTTTGATCACTTTTATAGCTCAAACATTTAGCATCCAAAACCCCAATTGGGCTCTGTGGCACTGATGAAATTGAAGGAGAAATCTCCTCCATAAGCCTCATCTCTTGTATTGCTTCATAACATTGCATGACTTTCTTCTGCAACCAAATTCCAAATACAGATTAGAACAAAAACAAAAGGTCATAAACTAACTAAGAGGCATACAAAGAACTGAGGTTGCAGCAGATTTACCTTCTGAACATAAGGACAACAATTTAAAGCATTCTCCATGCACAATATCTGAGCATCACTAAATGCAGTCATTGCAACTGCAGCAGCCACCTCTGAAGGCCTGAATTCTAACAGAGCAATTCCTGCATATGAATTTTACATAAATCAATCATACCAATTCATCACTTATTGCCTTAACTTTCTTGAGTGAAGAATTTGACTATGAGAACAAATGCTAAATCATATTACTCATCAAGGCATGCCATTCCCTGCGAATCGAACAGTTAAAGTTGAACAAAATGGCATTATCCATTCTCAAAACTAACCTTTAACTGTGCACAAAATGAGCTCCACACAGCGATGGATCTCCGATTCTTTCGGGGAATTTCCATCATTAAATGTGTGGAGAAAATAATCTATGAATGAGAAAGGTGTGACTGATTGCATCCTCCATTTGAGGGTGCTCAGCACCAGAAGCTCCATCCTCTGTATAGTCTTTGCCTCAAATACATATTTGGCATTGGCTATCTATTGCAATTAAGATTAATATTTAGAATGGAAAAAGGGGGGGAAATATGTAATAATAGTTCATGGTTCCTCACCTGTAAATCCAAGGATAGAGGAACTTCAGTTTCCTCCATCTTGGCAGCCAAAGATAGGCAGGCCACAGCTAGCAATTGAGTCATCCAAGCTTTCCCTTGCTATACATAAAGAACAACAAAAACATTTCATTAATCAAAGATCAAATGATTATTCATAAACAAAGACTAGAAAAGGATCATATTATTCAGCTGAAAAAATGGATAAGGGAAAGCATCTCCATTTTAGTCCAAGTTAAAGATTGGTGAGAGTTCTTACTGGGAGTTCATACGCACAGAGAAATCGATCCAGATAATTTACAGATAAGTAGGCACTAAGGGGTCCGAAGCTGTAATAGGCATGAACCTGCACACTTCAATATTTCACTCAATCAAACAAAAAAAATGTAGGAAAAAAAAGAGATAAATAGATGGAAGAGACAAAGAAACATTATTCCACTTATCATCAAAAGCTAATTGATGAAAAAAAGAAATACAGCAATCCACATATCTACCACTAATAACCAGATATACTACCAAAATAACACAAACCATCCGTTACAAACAAAAACATCTGATATCAAAATCAAGGGAAAATGCAAATGCCTTCAAAGAGTTAGTCCACTGAACTATTTGATCTGCAAAATCTCAAAAATAAACTTAAAAACCAAGTATACTGCAACAAATCACTAACATCTAGCAAGCTTGCAATATGTTTAAATGAAAATGAAGAAGATTTGAAATTGATCAATCTCCTTTTCCATAAAAAAAGAAATCAAGAGAAAAAAAAAACTTCAAATCGACATCCAGCAGTACGATCAATCAAAAAGGGTGAAATGCAAGGATAAAAGAAGGTAGATGGCACCTTCCGAATCCAATCTACAGCATCCTTTCTGACAGATATGTCCAATGCCCCACTCTTCAACCTCTTGGCATAATCTCTTGCCGGAAGATGCTCGGATTCCTTCTCCAGCAACGCAAATAAGCATTCCTCGGTTTGTAATGGGAAAATCATAAAGGAATCCCGGAAAAAAACAGTCTTTTGATCATAAATCTTCCCCATCCCACTCCCCCAAGATTTGCCTTTGATGCCAAGCTCGTCACCATCATCATCAACATCAAGGATGCTGCTGTTGTCCTCAGCGCATAGGAGCATGGACGAAGCATAGTCATAGCTAACTCCCATAGTAGCTGGATCAGAGATGAGCTCTCTTCTCCTTCCTTCTCAAATGATTCTCCTTTCATGGAGAAATCGAGAAGAAGAGCTTCCCCATTCTCTGATCATTCAGCGGACAAGAAAAAAGGCAGGAGATAAGAAGAGAGAAGAAAGAAGAAGAGTGAAGAGACTGTTGCATAGAGGGGAAAGGTGAACGCTAGCTGTAGGAGATGGATGGTGAGAGTATTTAGGGCGAGAGGATGAAAAAAGAGGTCAATATTAATCATTAATTAGATCAAAAATGGCTCATTGAATCATCTTATAATCATTTAATTAGGAGGAATATATATATAATCATTGAAAAAATAAGAACTTTGTCTTACTAAGTTGACGAAATAAATATTCGATCATTATTCATTTTAATAATTAAAAAAAAATCATCAAAGCTTATCTTGTTCTGACTATTAATTTAAGTTGAATTTGAGATTATTTTATTTTATTTTAAAGATTGCTGATGCATTTATATTTGACTATATTTTTCTATTAACTTTTTAAAAAAAATTATGATAATATATTTTCGTGATCAAACCTATAATAATATGATAGTTATAAGAGATTAATTTTCTTATTTATTTAAAAAATTATAATAAATTTTGAAGCTTATTTTTTACAAGAATTCTATTTTTTTTTTCAACGAATTGCTTATTACATTTTTGTCGATGGATAGTAAAATCTCCAATATCATTATGCTATTAATGGATTGAATTTCGGGAATTTCACCCAAAATAGAAAGAATGATTGGAAATGAATGTAATGATCATTATAGACCGTTATGATCATATTAGATGAGAAAATTTTGGAAGTTTAGAATTTGTTTGGGAAAGCTTTGTGACTCCATTTTTTAGATAGCAATCATAATTATATTCATCTATTACTTTCTTCTTATTTTTCAGAAAAAATTTGTATTGAAAAAATATTTTTCTTTTTGCAATCATAATAGCAAAGTTGTTTTCTCTACAATAACTTCATAACCAACTTTATAAAAAGCTGAAGTTGTCCCAAACCCTTGAAGCTTCATTTGAGATAGCTTTCTAATTGTTTTTCTTTTCAGATCACAACTATAATTTTTATTTGATTATTATTTTTTTACTATTTTCTAGAAATGCTTATGCCAAGAAATTGCTTTCTACTACAGCTTTCAAAAATATTATTTTCTCTATAATATTTTTACAATCATTTTTGTAAAAAGCTACAGCTGTCTCAAACAAGTACTTAGAATATTTTTGAAACATGTGCAACTTTTTATAAAATTGATTGTAAATTATTGTGAACAAAACATCTTAGATATTCTAATCATAAAAATAATTTTTCATCATATAAATTTCTAAAAAATATTGAAAAATAATAAGAAAAAAATAGTAAAATAAAATTATATTTGTTATGTTAAAATCAGATCATTGAAAAAACTATATAAAAACAGTCCTTTAGTTTGTATTTTCATTTAATCATTTAGATACTTTTATTTAAATAAATTACAATGTTTTTTTTTTATAATTTTTTTGGGTGAAATAAATAGTAAATAGCCTTGCACGGCCCCAATTTTTTAATTTAAAACAGCAGGTTTGGGCCGTTCGCCTGCGTTTTGGCCTGCCGTTTCTTTTCTCCACTTCCGAAGTTACAGTGAAGTCTCTTTATTATAATTTCTTGCTCGCCTGCTTTACTTATTTATATTTAGTTCTTTTTTTTTTATGGTATCAAATAATTTTTTATTTGATTTCCTAATTCGATATCGAATCATATTATACTTGCTGAATAAATTTATACTTAAAATAGAATGATTTAAATTGCTTTTATAGCAAGTCTTAGGATCATATTCAAATTTAATAGTTGATACTATAAAAAGCCATATGATAAATCTTTTTCACATTAGAGATTATGAATTTATATCTGAGTAAAATATATTATAACCGAGTAAAATATTCAGTGTGATAAATATTTTGTTTAAATTTGGTTGAGAGTATATAATCATTTTAGTTATAAATGGTGATTCACGCACATAATTAGAGAAGTGAATAAGGAGAAAGTAGGAGCGTGAATTTTGCACATGAAATACTTAAAAGAAAGAGATAAAATATGAAACTTATGAGATTGGAATTGTCTTTCTGGTGATGCGCCAGAAAGACGATTGAGTGAATAGAGCTGGTGGCAATAGTCATCTTCCAAAGATGAAGATGGATAACCTACAAGCGATAATCAAGGTGAATCTCAAAGATTAGAGATTTCAGTGAAGAGGGTTGAGTTGGACCTCCCATAGAGGCGCATGACATTGTCATGATTGATGAAGCAACATAGGAAGGTTGTGAGGGCCACCTTCGCTAGCAAGATTAGTCATCCCATGGAGGTTGGGATGATACGACATGCAGATAATGATGAGAAAATGCAAGGAAGTCATGGAGGCACTAAAGATGATCAACTGATCATCCTCTAAAAGTGGTGATGACATCACCTGAACTCAACGATAAAGTGGCTAAATAAGGTCCTAGATATCACACCCAACAATCAAAACTTTATTCACTTAAGCAAATCACACTAAACCTAGTTGACATATTGTGAAATATAACTCTCAAATCAATATATGATATTTTTTCAAACATTCTTCATCATTAAATTTTCCATTAATTCATAGATCAGTGCTCATCCCAATAAAATTTATGTAGAAGGAACAAAACATTTAGCTTACATCGAGAACTCCTTCATCAATGAGTCTTTATACCATCATTTAAACTCTTTAAAATATGCACAGACATAATTTCCACTAAAATAATACATTAAAATTTATATAACACATTGACAAAATCCAACTATTATCAAATCATTATTCCACCACCTCATTTTCCTTTCTTGAAACAAAAGTTATATGTATAGCAGAATTAAACATTAAGCATATACATTAAGATATTTTATGGCTAGCATATAAACATGAAAATAGAGCAATATGCATGAATATTATGCTAAAATTAATGTAACATGTTATACATGTTATGTAATCATGTGCGTACAAACTATGTGAATATTCATAATATTTGCATAATAATTAAACATTCATTTTCATGTCATGTGACAATTGGCATGATCATTTCTTATAGTAACTATAGTAGCATAGTTCACATTCTTAAACATATCCCAAGATTGTCAACTTCAATGGTGGTCTTAGACTAACTTGTTAGCTATAGTTACATGTTTCAACTTTATCTCGTTTGTATCATACTAGTTGTTCGTCCCTTGCACCCTACAACATCAATTTATCATCTTGCAAAGGTAAAGATTGTTCTATCAAACTATAGATCATTCATATCAATCATAACCTCGTTTCATAAGGTTTTAACATAATATAACATTTTTTTTTTCTTTTTTAGGAGATTTTTACCTTTTTTTTTTGATAGGTTTAAACTATGTTCGAAAAACTAGAGTCTCAAACCATAGAGCATAATGATCATGTATTCCTAAACTAAGTTATTACAACATATCCTATGTGATTATAGTCAACATCATGATTAATCAGTTCAAACAAATTTGAACCAAATATATTAAAATTTCTAGGCTCTTGTGATGCCCTATTTTCTTGCACCTAATCATAACCATCTAGCTAGCATGTTAATTTGAATCTCAAATATCCTGACTAGGAACATCTGATTGCATTCATTCAAACCTCATTGTTCATCCTCTCACAAGGGCCATTTGGACCAATTGGTGGCTATACAGCCATGTTGTAGCTTGTCTAAGTGACTAATTCAAGCGACTCACAATAATAGGTACCTATGATAGAATATTATGATGGTTTATCATTGTGTTTTTCATTCTCTACAAGACTAGTAACGCTTGGCAAACATATCAACCACTATATGTAGAAGCATGATTGTTTTGAGAGGCTTATAAAGGGTGATGAATGATTGTAGGTGTGGGATTCTTTTTTATTTTCTCAGTTATTGGTATAACAAAAAACGGTGCGCTCCAAAGTGGATGTAATCAAAAACTGTCAAACCACTCATACATTGTTCTTCTTTAACTTTTTCTATGTTGATTCCCTATGTATGTTCACCAACACTAGCCTCTATAATAGAAACTAAATACTTATTTTAAATCTTTTTTTTTTTCCTTTTTCAAACACAATCATGGCAGATCAAAACTTAAACATTACTTGATCTTGTGTCAGCAGCTTTTTTTTGTTAATAATTAAATCATACACAAATTGCTCAGAGCTTAGCTATTACTGAAAGCCTTAGATTAGACATAGCCTTACTAAACTTTGGTTATATACAACATCAGCCTATATAATAGAAACTAAATACTTGTTTTAAATCTTTTTTTTTTTTTTTCCTTTTTCAAACACAAGAAGGGCAGATCAAAACTTAAACCTTACTTGATCTTATGTCAGCAACTTTTTTTGTTGATAATTAAATCATACACAAATTGCTCATAGCTTAGCTATTATTGAAAGCCTTAGATTAGACATAGCCTTACTAAACTTTGGTTATATATGCTTGATTTTTTTATTTAGATATTATTTAATTGTGCATCAAATCATATCTTGATGAATCTTAGATGGGCTTCTAAAAGACTTTAAGATGACTCAAAATGCCAAAACTCTAGTTGAACCAACTAGGATTAAAATAGAACCTCTTGAACATTATGAACTCTATCACTTATCCTCACTTCAATTTAATATGCTCACTAATAAACTATGAACCTTGGGGGTTTCCCATAAAGCCTAGACTATAATTAATTGTCTTGTTTGATTGATTAGGAGTTTATTAAATTTGATTAAAAAGGATAATCAATGATGATTGAGAGAAACACGTAAGAGAACTCATAATAATGCCCAAAATAGGGGTGTAAATATTTGACACAACCCGAAAATCTGACTCGAACCCAACCCAAAAATTTTGGGTTAGGTCAACCTGTTTCGCAAACGGGCTAGGTTCAGGTTCCCAGATTTGACCCGTTTGAAAAATTGGGTCGGGTTCGGGTTGACCCAAAAACCTAAACTCAATCCGCGTTAACCCGTTTAAAACGAGATGACTGAGCTGCCCTCCCGTCGCGCCTACCAGCACTACCCCGCATGTCGCGTAGCGCGTCTGCCCGAGCATCCCAGCAGATCATGTCGTGTGTCTACCCGTGCTACCCCGCGTGTCGCATTCGGCGTCTCACATCATCTGACTCACCTCACTGGCGTTGGTATCCTCTGTCAACGCGAACCC